AACTTAAATTGACTATGATTCAGTGATGAAAAGCAATAAATGGGGAAAACCTTCCAAGGAGGCTGAATACTTCTATAGGCACTGCAGAGTCACATGCAGTCAGGTCTGTTTCACTGGCAGGACTTACTGGGACGTCTCTCCAAGATGAAGTTAAGGTTAATTATATTTGAACTCCACACCCGAGCACTTCTTTGGAAAGAAGGGAACTTTCCCCGACTGGTTTACAGACAGGTTTGACAAACAACACTGTTCCGTATTGACATTCAAATTCAAAGAAACGGGAACTACAAATAAAATGTGATTGATTGCATAAGCTACATGTTCAAGTGTTAACTAAGAGGAAAGCAAGATCTGTTCTACGGAGGTGCCACAGCATGCATTTGCACCCTTACTGTTATATTTTGCCCCCTTCTTTGAATAATAAATGTGTTGTCATTTATTGGAAGTGGAAACTGCACTGCATCATGTTGGTCTGCTGGGTTGTGACTGGGACTCTCTGGACAACTTCAGTTGACTAATGTTTACTGACTGTTTAGATCTAATTCCATGGATATTCAAAAACAGTTGGGGAGGCTGAAATGAGAAAAAAGTTGTAATAAGGACTCCAATCAAAGTTAGTCTGCTCTAGCAGTCAAATAGTTTTAAAAACGGTCAAGAAAAGGTATGAAGGAGAATATCCAAAAACGAAGAAAAAGGATCAAGGAGATTTATTGTCATTGCATTTCTACAACAAATTTAAACCAAAACAAAATTAAAAATAAAAGCAAGTATTTACAAAAGTGTAAAAAGTGTAGTCGTACAATGAGGTGTAATGTCTGCATTAAAGTGTCTGATGGGAGTTTATGGTCCATCAGTGAGTCTGTTTGAGAGCAGGAGGGTGGGGGGTTGGGGTAAGAGTTTCACTTCTGGGTTGTGAGTGTTTGTGGGCGGGGGAGAGGAAGGGAGGTGGTGCAATGGAGGCTACAGCTCTGGGAAAAAAGCTGTTCCCCAGCCTGCTAGTCCATGTTTTCATGGCACAGTACCTCCTCCCCAGCAGCAGTGGGACAAACAGGAAGTGTCTTGGGTGGCTGATGTCCATGCAGATGGCCCATGCTCTTCTCTGCATGCGCTTAGTGTACACAGAGTCCAAGTCCAGGAGCTCAGCTGTGTAACTGTACAGGAAAAAGACTAATAAGGAAGGCCACCAAGATACTTATACCTCCTCTGAAGGAGTTACAAGCTTCAGTGGCTGAGACGTTACAGACTAATGCCTTTTCTTCATAAGTCAAAGCATTATGGGAGAGTGGCAAAGATAAAGCCGCTGTTTAAAAAAAGCTCATATTAAATCTCGACTAGAATCTACAAAAAGGCATGTGGGAGACTCTGAAGTCAGTTGGGAGAAGGTTCTTTGCTTTTTTGCTATCAGACTAGATGCTATGTTTGATAGACGATAAAAAATGCACACTGTCACAAGCACACTATTCCCATTGTAAAGCATGGTGGTGGCAGCATCATGATGTGGGGCAGTTTCTGTGCAGCAGGCTCTGGAAAGCTTGGAAAGGTAGAGGATAAAATGATGGCAGGGAAGTATTGTGGAATCCTGACAGACAACCTGATGCAGATAACTGGAAAGGGAAAAGATTTGTTTTTAAGCACCCCAATGACCCAAAGCATACAGCCAAAACTACACAGGTTTAAAGACAACATGGTGAAAGTTCTGGAAGGGGCTGAATCGGAGCCGAGACCTCAATGCATATGCAAACACTTATTTTGTGTTTTGTATGTCAAAGTTAATTGAGATTATATTCTCACTTTATCAAAGATTCATTTTTTGTGAATTGTAGTCAGAAGAGCCCAATTAAACCGGCCATGATCGACTGTTGAAAAGCAATAAAAAGAGAAAAACAAGTGCAAAAAGGGTGGATGCATTTTATAGCAGGGATCTCCAACTCTGGTCCTTGTGAGCTACTGTTCTGCAGGTTTTAGACGTTTCCGTACTGCAACACACCTGACTCAGATTAATGGATCTCCAACAGCTTGTTGTCAAGTTCTACACAAGTCTGTTAATGATCCATTAATTGGTGTGTTGCAGTACACAGAGACATCTAAAACCTGCAGGACAGTAGCTCACAGGGACCGGAGTTAGAGATCCCTGTTTTATAGGCCCTATGAGAGGAGCAGTTCATTTTGTTGATGTTCCTATTATTTATATACTGGTACAGACACTAGGTGCTCTTCTGCTATGCAAGACCAAGAATGTAGAAGGTTGTAAAATGGTTGTTTTGAGATAAATAAAGATCTTCTTGAGGAAAATAATCCATTCTTATGTAGAGACCTTCATATATTTTACGAAGATAATCATCTCTGAGAAATACAACCAAATACAGACAGCAGTTCACAGGAGAGGAAACAAATGGTGACAACAGGAGACTGTTGATGTGCATCATTTGTTTCTTGCAGTTTCGGGCGCTTTAAAGTTTCGGCCCCGCCCAGTTGCGCATGCGCCGCCACCAGACACGCCCCTTCTTTCTGCAGCCATGTGGCTGACGTTGGTAAATACAAACCTACGCTAAATTTTTGCAACTCCAGCTTCACCGTGAGTTTTAACCGTGACTCCTGCGCGGCCGGAGCAGCCAGAATGTCGGCGGGCGTCGTGAACCTACAGGCGCAGGTGGAGTCGGTGCTGGGAGAGCTGGTCAAGGCGGCCACGGTGGAGTTAACCAAACTGTTCGAGAGCAGGTACCGAGCCGCGGCGGTGGAAGCGGGCCGCACCGAGGACCAAATGGAAAATGAAAGCCCAGAGAAGCTGGATTGTTTATCGAGCGAGGACACAAAACGCAGCATCGGAGTGCAAGTGGACATTCATCCGCCGCTGGAGCTTTGTGGTAGGTTCTGTTGGAGCTTCCTGTTTGTGTGCAGCCAGGCTGGAGTGATAAATGCATTGGGGAGTTTACAGACAAGTTGCTTATCAGGAGTTTAGCTGCAAAGTAAAAAAGTTTTGCATCATCAGTGCACAGTTTCCTTGATGCATATCTTGCATGCATCGAGCAGTCTTTGCCATTGTTGCCCTGAACTCCTGCAGAGTGTCGCCTGTTGGAGATCTACTGCTGAGGAATGTGTTTCTGTGCTTGAACCCCCTCCCCCCTCTCTTCTCTATAGATACCTCTTTCCTCTCAGATGGGGATTGTCTCAGAGAGTGGAAGGACGTGGTGGTGGAGGGGTGTCTCCTTCCCTCAGATATCCTACTGGCTGAAGATAATGGCCACGCTGACCCCGAGTGGTCACTTCTGAAGGAGCAGGTCAGTGGGAATTTACTGCAAGTCAGCTGTGGAATGAGCAAGAAGCGGCCTGGCGAAGCTGTGTGCAGCTTTGTGCAGCACAGCATGACTTAAAATGTATTTTTTTAACTTGAATGCCTCAAATGTGATCCTAATTGCACTATGCATGTAACTTTGTGTCTTTGTAAACCAGGATGTGGAAGAGACCGTGGATCAAGTGGAGCTGATGGACTTTAAAGTAGAGCCTGACGATGATGCTCAGTCTGACGTTCTTTCGCATGGTAAGAGCTGAAACACACCGATGTCTATGTGCAACTTTCTCAAAGAAGGAAGTTCTGAGTTAATATTTACCAACACAAAACAGATTTATGTGAAGGGTTATTCCATCGTAAATCATCAGGGGCCTTCTGCTCAGCCATCTCTGATTTCCATGAAACTCTGGATATTTAAAATGTTATCAGTCAAAGCTAAGCTTGATAAATCGAATAGTTTTTGAGATATTTTAAAAGAAAAAAAAAATACAGGGCTGCCTGTTTACTTTCATGCCCTCGGTCCAGGATGGATTTATAACTATATCCGGGATATTCCAATAAGTAGGCTTCAAGATTAGCGTATGGAAGTCGCCACAACGATGGAGAAAGTTGTGTCTGTGTGATGAAAAATGGGAATGTTTCCACAAGATCAAAGGGCCTTTTTTTTTCAAGATCAAGAATTTTTCATTCAAAAGGAGCTTTATGGTTTCAGTGAAGTTTCGCCTTTGTTGGTACGAAAAACCACCCCATCAATAAAAGTTATTTCCTTTGATCAGAGGATCAACTCATCCTGATTAACGAGCTGAGCAGTTCAGTTATGAGTGACGACGTGCTCTGCAACAATTCTCTTTGATGTGTCTTAATTAACGTCAGACAATGTGCGAGTAACTCAATGATCAGATCTCAGGTGAGCAGGTAATAGACAAACAAACAAACACGTTGCCTTCCGTGGGTGACCAAGGTGTGAATATCTGCCACGCGTGACCAACGCACGGCCCGTGAGCTGCAACGATCAGCCGACCGTGACTTTAAATGGGCAAAAGTTATTCCTGGAATCAATTTCGGGGATTTTGTTATGACAAAACCCGGGATTATGACATTAATCTATGACAATAACCGGGCTGTTTTACTGCAGGTTATGTAGGAGATGATTCTGGACTTGTGACATTAAGTGGGCAGCACTGTGCGACTCACTGACCCATTTTCTGTGTGTCTTTTTTAAAAGCACATTACAATTTGAGGCTATGTTTATCTCAGGAACTATTCAAGATAAAAGTCGGACGTTGTCACCGTGTGTCTCGTCATGTCATCGATTCAGAATCTGCAAAATTGGACAAGTGGACCAAACCGTCTCTGTGTATTTATCAGTTGAAATATGATTGTAGAAATGGACGCTGCCATGAAAAGTCCCAACTTTGAGCTCACAGTAACAAAACAGTTGATGATGCAGAAGTTAACGAGTGAAACGTTCTAAACCATATGCAGCTGCGTAATATAATAATACAAAACAAAATGTACAGAATACTCTGAGGCATTATCATCCAAGCACAGCCTCAACTTTTAATGTATAAAAAGACGTAGTGAAAGAGGGTTGACAGACAATTTAGGGGGAGAGAAGTTATATCGGAAAGTGTTTTATAATTTATTTATCATTTTATAACAATCTGTTTTTCAAATCAGAGCTGGTTGAGCAGAAATCTATCTGAAAACTTGATGGTTTGAGATTGAATCATCTGTTTTCCCCACAACAAAATACTGAGGAAGCAATTTGTCCAGTCAATCCTGAAACATCTGCGTGTTTTAGGATTGACTGTTACATTTATATTTATTGTACTCTGATTATTATTGTTGTGGAATCTCTGGAAGAGCCTGACACAGAGAGACACCAGAGGCTCAGATGACTTAAGTTGGAATGACGTTTACTGAATTCAGAGACAGCAGTTCAGTGCCAGCATCAATTCTAAAGATCCCTATCGCACCTTTAGCCTGATCTCCTCCCTCAGTGAAAAGCCACATCCAGATTTATGGGCGAGAGGGAAGCAAAGATAAGTGGGCACCTGGGTATAATCTGGCCTTGAGAGGTGCAGAGAAAGCCTCCTGCAATGAGGTTTAAATGAGGTCAAGAATGTATAGAAGAGTTACAGAGCGCACGTCTGCTTCAAACCTAAAGAGGTCCATCAGGGTTCAATATCTTCTCTAAAAGATTATCTCCAAACCACAATTATAGGCAGCAATGGGAGCGATACAAGTGATCTGAACGATGTCTGGGTGGCTGAGTGATCCTAAGCGATTGTAGATGGATATGTATTAGATCACATAGAAATAAATACTACGAATCTGTGGCTGTCAGTTAAAGGTAAAGCGTTGTGCTAACTCCTAGGGGCAGCTTCGGGAAACAGTAACCGTGGGAAAAGCGTGTCCTCCTTCACACTGTTTACTAAAAGCTAATTCTGTGTTTTTCTTATAAATACCAAGTGTTGCACCACCTGTTAGTGCTGCGAGGTTATGCTGGAGCTGCAGCAGTGCATCTGCTCCAGGTGTCTGCGTTTCCACAGATTTCCACCACAGAGTAGACGTGAGGTGAAGCCCTGCATAAGTAAAAGCTGATGGAATGCTAACTTTACATGAGGATCACGCTACTTCATGCCTCACAGCAGACATACATCCACACGATACATAGACTTTTCACCTTACAGCTGTTTGTTACTGACATGCAAATCTTTATGTTAATCTGATGGCAGTTCAACATTGTTGTGTCTGAAGCATCCTCTTAAAATGTATGTAAATGTCAGCGTTACCAGGTTTAATCGCTTTCACCACAGCACTCGACTGAAATGAAAAGTGGTCGGCTTAATGTAAAGACTACAAAGCTGTTAGGAGCAGTTTAAATCCAACTTAACTCAGTGGACCGTAGTTGATCCCCACCTATGTTTCAGTTCGTATTTACACCACAGATTCATGCAAAGTTTAACCATCATAGTGTGAATTGCAGTTTTCTGTTACTTTAAAAAGGAACCAGAAGGGCATTTAAAGAGCACAGTACTTCAAGGCCAAGGATTGATCTCGCAATTTCGAAGGAAGTGATCCAGATCTGCTCCAAAATGCTCCATTTTGACCTGGTGGTTTTTGCTTATTCACAAACAAATCACACTGGAAACATTCTTCTGCTTCAAGGAATAATTTCCCTAAAGCTCAATGCGGAGATGCAGAACACGGTAAAAGCAGTTGACGTTGACAGTCGTGGGAGTTTTTTCCCTGCTGACTGAAATTTGATCCAATCGGTGACTCAGAAGCTACAATACGATCCAAACTGTGAGTTTTGTGATGTATTACACCCACAGATATATCCAAGGCTGCACCCATACCTGAGAATATCTTCCTATATCCAGTAGGATTACATCTAAACAAAGCCTTAAGAGAGGAGAGGTGTGGTTTCTGAATGAGAGATGGATGTGAATGTGCATTATCATTTAAAATCAATCTGACCTTTTTTCAGCTTCCTCAGAGACATGGACAGCGATATCAAGCTGTGGATCTACGCAGAGCTCACCAGAGAAACAGAAGCCTCTCATTATCCAGCCAGACACGAGTGACTCCGCCTCTGAGGAGAAGGTGAAATTTGTTTGCCCATTAATCCTTAAGTCAGAGACTACTGCCCCCAACCCTGAAAACTCAGAGAAGCCTGTTCAAGCCGAGCCTCAGCCAGCCTGCGTCAGCACCGCAAAAGGCACCGCCTACAGTCCGTCGCCACTGGATGGAGCGGTGACTCCTACACAGGTTGGAGTGTGGGAACGGATCCACAACCCAAAGGAGACAAAGAACTTTCTCCAGATGAAACTGAAGCTTGCCTCTCCGGATCAGAAGCTGCTGAGTCCGTGTGCAGTGCAGCTGGTGAATCTGCTCACAGTGCCCGAGACCAAGATGGTGAATCTGGCCGATGCTGCTACGGCTCACAGCGCTCACCAGAAATCCGGCTGGCCTCTGCCCAAAGACCTCCGCCGCCATCAAGGTCTGCACACAGGCCATCGCCTCTGCTGCTTCACCCAGTGTGAAAACGGCATTTGGCGCCTCCAAAAGGTCGTGGCCCACTCCCGCGATGGATACGCCTGCAGTATCTGTGCCAAAACGTTCAAGCGAAGGAAGATTCTCCGGCGACACGAACGCTTCCACACCGGAGAAAAACCGTACTCGTGCTCAGCGTGTTCCAAGACTTTTGCCCTGAGAAAGAGCCTCCGACGCCACGTGAGGTTCCACACAGGCGAGAGGCCGCACAACTGCCCGCAGTGCGGCAAAAGCTTCCGTCTGCGGGACAATCTGAAAGCACATTTGAGATTTCACACTGGAGAGAAGCCTTTCAGCTGCGACACGTGTGGCAAGATGTTCAGGATCATGAGGAATCTGGAGAAACACAAACTGAGCCAGTGTGAATACTTCGTTCCCTCCTTCAGGACGATCGCTGGGCTGAAGCTGGTTTAAACAGCTGTTCACGGCAGGTTGCACCGATATCTACCTCGGACTGGAAACCCACTGAATTGCTTTTACACTAAAGCTGGCATAAGGAAAGTTAAAAGCAATAACAGAGACACAAACTATGATCCGTATTGATTCCTGATATTTGAAGACATTCCAGAAGCATTCTAATGACAATAACTGGGGTTGCAGTTTTGTCGAAATGTTTTGTCATTAAATTCATACTACTGATGCTTTTGTCTTTTTTTTTTTCTTCTATATTTTGTTATTCATTGCCATATTTTTGCCTCTTGTGATTGTGGACCAAAAGCAGGACTGAGAAAGTGCAGCAGTTTTTCTCAACTGTTAGCATTAGACTTTCTGAGAAACACATGATCGCTCTGCAGGGAAATCCTTTTGCACAGTTAACCGGGGATGCGTGCTCTTTGGACTACGTCATGTCTTGTAAACAGGATTAAACACACCAGTAAAGTTTTATGCTTTTATGGCTACACATAAAACATCTGGTGGTTCAAAAGTTCAGATACTCACCTGTTATATACTAAGTACTGATTTTTTGTTTTTAAAGGCTTTATTCTTTTATATATATTTTTTACTTTACACATGTATCTTAACGAGATGAATGTTTGACTTTGTCTTCATGTTATGATTACTAGAATGTCTGTAGATGTCTTGTCAAGCTGATTTTATAGAAAATCTGGATGTAATGCTGCTGCCTGCGATGTTAAATTTACACGTGGACACACTAACTTGATCTCATGCCCCTTTTTGCAAGATTTTTTTAGAAAGTTTTTACAGTTATTACATTCATGTATACTACATTAACAGATGTGTTTTAAGCTTTTTAAACATTTGCTGCCTGATAACATTTGTCTTGTGTATTAATAAAAAACATAAATAAAAG